CCCCAAAACCCCAAAACCCCAAAACCCCAAAACCCCGTTGAGCAGATATTTAGTCTAAATTTGATAATTGAAGATTGATAAATAACAGGTTAACTAATATCTTATAAATTTATATTAGATTTTTTAGACGAGAGGAGCCAACTGCATGGAATAAACATTAAGCCGCACAAATTAAGTTTTTCACATAAAGTTACAGTTATCGGGTGAAGAGACAATGTTGATTTAAAGTTTAAATAATGAATAATTAAAGAACCAATTGCTACAAAAATATTGTTAAGATGATCAAAAATAAATCAGGTTCATCTTAGAGGGAGCTGGCTTTATCAATATATATAATATAAGAGAGCTGCCGGACCTGAGCTGTCAAAGCCGATAAATCCAAAATGTAATCTTTACGAAGTTAATAACGATTTGTAGGGATTATAACAAGGAAGAAGATAGGAATATGAAGTTACCATGGGAGTTTACCCTCATAGCATTAATAATTAAATAACACAAATTCCATAACAATTGAGGACCGGTTGCTCCATCTCACCTTCCACACATCCCAATAATTATTATAATCCCAGTTCTTAGAATAATAATAATAATATAACTGAGAGTAGAGAGGGAGCCGATAGGGGTAGTGAGGGGTTCGAGAGGGATCAAGATGAAAAAAAATTTTTAAGTGCAGAAAAACTCTAATCAATTTAGACGAAAAATCTTAATTAATTCTAGTAATTAAAATCAGACTAAACTGAGATTTAAGAATTAAAAAGTTAATAGTTCTATGGATTACCCTCGTCAAGCTATTTATTATAAGAAAGATTATAATATTTAGATGGATCTCTCGACAACTCTAGTGCAAACAATATATAGACACATAACTCAAAAGAGGAAGAAGTGAAAGAGAAGTATTAATGTCCATACTGCAATAAAACATTGACAAGAAAGGAGAACGTTAAAAAACATTTCATAACCACTCATCAAAATTTAAAATAATTCTAATGCCAAATATGTCTGAAATATTTCTCAGAAAAAGGAAATTTGAACGTACATATGAGAATTCACTAAGGATGGAGACCTTTCAAGTGCGACATTTGTGATATGAGATTTAATTCACGTGGAAATAAAGCTGATCATTTACGCAGACACATTAATTAAAGGTAAATTTCCAGTGAGATTACACTAACTTCGCAACTAGTATAAAGATATTAATTTATTTATTTAGGAACTATGAATGCAAGCTCTGCGGATAAAAATATTATAGGCGATACTAGCTTGCAAAACACATGGAAAAGAAGCACTCTCACCATAATACAAATATTCCATTAAAAGAAAGTTAACATGAGCGAGAAGAGTCTGATAGCGAACTGAACGGATGTGTGAAATTTGACTTCACAGTATATTCAACGAAAGATGAGGCCAAAATTTAGATGTTTGAAAAGGGTAGACAATATGGCCTCTAAAGTTTAACCTCAATCGACTAATATATACCTATTCTTTCAGAAAATGAACATAATTAGATGCCTTACAAAGATTGTTAGAGATAAATTTTATAATGGGATAATCAAAATAGTGGAATATTAAGACTCCCTCGTTAAGATCATAACATTCAATATTGATTTATTCATGCTTCTAAGACTTTTCTTTAATCAAATACTCATGATATATTATATTAGTAATTTAATAATATTTTCATTTCTTTTGCAAGCTAAATTTTATTTAATTTCTTAAGATTTCTATGGCATCCTCCTCTATCTTAATGCTTGGGGTTTTGGGGTTTTGGGGTTTTGGGG